TCGAGCTCGAACATGCCCGCGCCCGTGTTGCTGCTGAAGAACGCGCGCGTCGCGTACTCGGAGCCCACGATGTCGAGGTAGGCGTAGGCCGCGCCGAAGGACGTCTCGCCGTCGTCGTAGAACTCGAGGTCGTCGCCCCAGTCGACGCTCGATTCCAGCACGGCGTAGGCCTCGGGCTCGCCCGTCTCCTCGCCCAGGCGCACGACGAGGAGCTCGTAGGCGCCGCCGAGGCCCACGAGGTAGCCGCGGCCGCCCTCGCCGTCGATGACCTTGGTGTCGCCGTCGTGCTCCTCGACCGCCGCGACGTCGAGCACCGCGCCGGTGTAGAGATCCTCCGAGACGCCGAACGTCGCGTCCTCGTAGAAGAAGGGCGCGTCGCCGTTGATCTCCCCGACGTAGTAGAAGCCCTCGCCGCCGTCGCGGCCGACGTTCTTGGCGTAGTAGTAGTTCGTGCCGACGATCGCGCCGACGTTCGGCGACTCGTACTCGAGCGGCGTGTCGAAGCAGACCTTCGACGACGCGTCGAAGCGGCAGAGGTAGCCGCCGAAGGACGCCATGGCGTAGTTCGACGACCCCAGGTCCGTCGGATCGCCGCCCGTGAAGATGGCCGCCGCGTTGATGTGGCCGTCGAACCACGAGAGGTCCTCGACCTCGGAATAGACGCCCGTGTCGATGTCGAGCTCGCGGACGGTGTAGGCGTCCGCGCCGTCGTACTTCAGGACCTGGATGGGCTCCTGGTACGCCTCGCAGTCGAAGGCGTCGATGGACGCGTCGGACCAGCGCGCGACGGCCTCGGACGTCGGCGCCGACGTCGGCGCCGTCGTCACCCGGAGCGTCGCCCGGATCGTGGGCTCGACGGTCGGCGCGGCGGAGACGGACGGCGCGTAGGTCGGGAACAGGCTCGGCGTCTGCGTCGGCTCCGGCGGCGTCGTGGGCTCGGGCGTCGGCTCGGGCGTCGGCTCGGGCGTCGGCTCGGGCGTCGGCTCCGTCGACGGCGCGGCCTCGAAGAACTCGGGGCAGTTCATGCCGTCGTTGTAGTTCGTCGGCGCCGACGCGGACACGCGCCGGATGCCGACGACGACGTCGCAGACGCCGTGGGCGTCCGTGTCGAAGCCCGCGTTCCAGCACGAGTCGGGCACGGCGACCGGCAGCGCGAGCTCGAAGAGGCCCTGGCCCGAGTTTGCCGTGAAGTAGATCTTCGTGTCGCCGTCCGCGTTGTAGACGAAGGACGCGCCGAAGCCGCCCGTGTCGTCGTCCGCCGGGTCGAAGCCGTCGAAGTCGACCTGGCTGTCGAAGACCGCGTACGCGTCGGGATAGCCGCTCTGGCCGCTCAGGTGGACCACGAGCAGCTCGAAGTCCGTCGAGAGGCCCACGAGGTAGCCCGCGTCGGCGTAGCGATCGTCGAAGAGCTCGTCGCCGTCCTCCTCGACGCCGGAGAAGTCCAGGACCGCGCCGTCGTACAGCGACGGCGCGACGGCGAAGGCCGAGTCGGCGTAGAACTCGGGCTCGTCGGTGTGGATCAGGTCCACCCAGAAGATCTCGCCGTTGTCGTCCGCCTCGCCGAGGTTCTTGGCGTAGTAGTACCGCTTGTCGACGATCGCGCCGACGTTCGGCGACGAGAACTCGAGCGCGTCGTCGAAGCAGACCTTCGCCGCCGCGTCGAAGCGGCACAGGTAGCCGCCGAAGCTCCCCATGGCGTAGTAGCCCTTCTTGCCCCCGTCGTACAACGCCACGGCGTTGATGTGGCCGTCGAAGTAGTCGAGCTCGTAGAGCAGGTGGTACGCGCCGTCGTCAAAATTTAATTCGTAGGCGCCGTAGAGCGACGCGTCGTCGTAGCGCATGACCTGCACGGGGTTGTAGTTCGTCTCGCAGTCGAACTCGTCGACGGCGACGTCGTCCCAGCAGAGGCGGCCCGTGCAGGGCTCCTCCGTCGGCGCGGCCGTCGGCGCGAGGACGAAGTCGCCGTTCGGGCAGTTGAGGCCGTCGTTGTAGTGCGTCGGCTCCGAGGGCCCCAGGTAGTTGAGCGCCACCGTCGCGTCGCACTTGGCGTGGTTTTCGACGTCGTCGCCCTCGTTCCAGCAGTCGTCCGGGATCTCGAAGCCCGTCGCGAGCTCCATGATGCCGTAGCCCTCGTTCGACGCGAAGAAGAGGCGGTAGCTCGCGTAGAGGTCCGCGTGCCGCAGGAGCTTGTAAGCGAAGGCCGCCCCGAAGGAGTTGTCGTCGTCGGAGTGGTCGTCGGCGTCGCCCCAGTCGACGACCGCGTCGAGGACCGCGTACTTGTCCGGCTTTTTCGTCGCCCGGTTCACGTGGACGACGACGACCTCGTAGCCCAGGGCGATGCCGACGAGGTAGGTCCCGTCCTCGTCGTACATGTCGACGATCATCTCCGCGCCGTACTCCTCCACGGCGACGAAGTCGAGCACGGAGCTCTTGTAGAGCTCGGGGCTCATCGTGAACTCGTGGCCGTCGTGGAAGTCGGGCCGGTCCGTGTGGATGTCGCCGACCCAATAAATATGAGAATTCTGGATGTTGTTCCCAAAGTTCTTCGCGTAGTAGTAGGTGTTGCCGATGATCGCGGCCGCGTTCGGGCTGTCGCTCGCCAAAGGCGTCGCGAAGCAGACCGCGTGCGACTCGTCGAAGCGGCAGAGGTAGCCCCCGAAGGACGCGAAGGAGAAGAAGGCGTCCTCGGACGCCGTGACGAACATGGCCGCGGCGTTGATGTGGCCGTCGAAGTACTCGATGTCGTACATGAGGTCGTAGTTGCCCTCCTCGTACTCGAGCTCCAGGACGCTGTAGCGCGCGTCGTCGTCGGAGAGGCGCATGATCTGCACGGGGAAGACGTGCGTGTTGTCGCTGCAGCCGAACTCGGCCACGGTCTCGTCGGCCCAGCAGTAGTCCGCGTCGCAGGCGCCGTCCGTGGGGACGTAGCTCGGCGCGTACGTTGGCGTCTCCGTCGGCATCGACGACGGCTCGTACGTCGACGGCGCGTAGGACGGGTTGTAGGTCGGCTCGTAGGTCGGCGGGGGCGTGGGCGGCAGGGACGTCGGCAGGGACGTCGGGGCGGCCGTGGGGCCGCTGCCGCCGTTGAGCAGGCTGTAGGCCGACGTCGTGTCCGCGGCGGCCGCCGCGGTCTCGTTCGCGGACACTCGCGCGCCGTCGAAGGCCGTCGACGATAAGCGCCGGCGGCCCGCCGTGGCGTCGTCCACGAGGGTCTGGAGGTCGCCCGACGTCGCGGCCTCGACGACCGTCGCCACGTAGGCCGCGACGTAGGCCGCGTCCGCGGCCGCGGCGTCGTCGGCCGTCGCGTTGCTCGCGAGCCAGAAGTAGTCGTAGAACGAGTAGGCGATGGACGTGAGGCCCCCGTCGAGGGATGCTGATACTTCATAAACATAATCTGCCGTGACGTTGGGCCAGAGCGCGGCGATGACGTCCTTGAACTCCGCGACCGCGTCGACGTCGTCGTTGAACGTGTCGCTGTCGACGCCCGAGAAGACGAGCGCGGAGCTCACGACGACCTCGAGCGCCGTCGCCACGTCGGCGGTCGAGTCCGTTTCGAGATCCTGGCCCCGGGCCCAGGTCACGGTTGTGGTGTCGAGGGCCTCGAGGCTCGTCATCACGTCGACGGTCGCGGCTTTGACCGTAGCCGTCGTCGCGGCCGCGGCGAGCGCGTCCTCGAGCGCGCCGACGTCGACGGCCGTCGTCGCGGCGTCGTAGTAGTCCGACGCGAACGCCGCGGACGCGTTCGCCAATGCCGCGTCGCCGGCGTCGCCCGCCACGGACGCCCAGTGGTAGAAGTCGAAGCCGATGAGAGTCGAAGCAATCGCCGACGACGCCGTCAGCGACGTGACGAAGGCGGACCCGTTGACGTAGGGCGCCAGCGCGATGACCAGCGCCGCCTCGATGTCGGCGACGGCGCCGGCGTCGTAGGTGATGGCGTCCGGCGTGATGCCGTCGAGCGCGACGGCCGAAGTGGCGAAATACGTCACGTCGGTGCTACCGTCAAAGGCCGTCGGCGCGACGCTCGGCGCGCAGGTCGCGGCCCCGACGGCGCCGTCCTCGAAGAGGAGCGCCGCGGACATCTCCGCCGCGCAGACGCACGTCGCCGCCGGGTTCACGGCGAAGCCCTCGAGGACGCACGCGCCGGAGCAGTCCTCGTAGACGACGTCGACCTCGTAGCCGTCGGGGCACGTGACGCAGTCCGCGTAGGGCGCCGGCGACGCCTCGAGGTCGCCGCAGGTCGCGTAGTGGCCGCAGGTCGCGCAGCCCTGGAAGGCGCACTGGGCGATGGTGCCGTTGAGCACCGCGAGGCAGTCCTCGAACCACATCTGCTCCCCGGCCGTCGCCGCGGCGGCGTTCCAGGGGCAGGACCCGTAGACCTCCGTCTCGAGCGATTCCGCGAATTCGCTGTAGGAGAGGCTGCAGTTGCTCGGCGCCAGCGTCGGGGCCTCCGTGCTCGCGACCTCGATCTCGTCGAGCGGCAGCGGGCCGCCGTCGCCGCCGCCGCCGTCGCGGTCGAGCCGCGCGGCGGAGCGCCGCGCCGCGGCTCTCGCCGGCCGTCGCGCGGCGCGGTCCGCCCCGCCGGGGGACGACGCGCCGCGCGAGGACCGCGGCGCCGACGCAGGGCTGCCCAGGCCGAGCGGCCGTTGAAGGCGCACGGCGGCGCCGCCGGCGAGCGCAAAGGCGCAGAGCGCGGCAGCGTAGGGCAGCCGCCGCCGCGCCGCCGTCGCGCCGCCGCCGCCGTCATCCGCACCCGCCGCGGGCCGGCCGCCGGCCATGCCCAGTGCGTTGCTAGCAGCGTCGGTTCCCCGAGGGCTGGGCAGATTGAAAAGTTGGAGGCTTGATTTCTAGGCTTGCTTTGAAGTCGGCGCGCATCATTGCCCGTGAAGCTGCCCAGGCAATATTGCACTTCACGTTGAAGATTTCGCGCGCTCTCGAGCGGCGCCCAAAGCCCGCCGCCTTGACATTGCGCCAGACGCATTGCAACGCGCCGCTCGACCGCCATGCAGCGCCGCACCGCCTTGCTCCTCGCCGCCTTGAGCGTCGCCTCGTCCATCGAGGCGCCGCGCAGCCGCACGACGGCGCTGCGCGCCGCCGCGGCGCCCAAAACAAACTCTCTTCCTGCCGTCGCCGCGGGCGGCGCCCTGGACGCGGGCCTCGCGAAGCGGCTCGAGGTCGGCGCCGTCTTCGCGCTCTGGTACGCGCTCAACGTCTACTACAACGTGCTCAACAAGAAGGTGCTCAAGGTCGTCAAGCTGCCGTGGCTCGTGGCGACGGCGCAGCTCGCCGTCGGCGGCCTCTACTCGCTCGGCGTCTGGGCCGCGGGCCTCCGCGCGGGGCCGGCGGACCTCGGCGCCGCGGTGAAGGCGGCCCTCCCCATCGCCGCCGCCCACGGCGCGGGCCAGGCCGCTACCGTCGTGAGCCTCGGCGCCGGCGCGGTCAGCTCGACGCACGTCATCAAGGCGCTCGAGCCGCTGTTCAGCGCGGCGGTGAACGCGGGCGTCAACGGCGAGGTCCTGCCGCTGGGCGTCTACGCGTCCCTGCTGCCCGTCATCGGCGGCGTCGGCGGCGCCGTGGCGACGGACCTGAGCTTCAACCCGCTGTCGTTCGCCGCGGCGATGGCGTCGAACCTCTGCTTCGCGTTCCGCGCGGTCTGCTCGAAGAACGCCATGAGGGCGCCGGGCTCCGTGCTCGCGGCGCTCGGCGCGCCGTCGCTCTTCGGCGTCGTCACGCTCGGCGCGCTGCTGCTCGTCGCGCCCGTCGCGCTCGCCCTCGAGCTCCCGGGCCTCTCGGCCGCCGTCGCCGGCGTCGCGTCGCCGGGCCTCGCCGCGAGCCTCGCCTGCAGCGGCCTCTTCCACTACCTCAACAACGAGGTCATGTACCTCGCCCTCGCGCGCGTCCACCCCGTGACGCTCGCCGTGGGCAACACGCTCAAGCGCGTCGTCGTCATCCTCGCGGCGCTCGTCGTCTTCCAGGAGCCCATGAACCTCGCGACGGCCGTCGGCACGGCCGTCGCCATCGCCGGCGTCTTGCTCTACTCGGTCCTGAAGCAGAAGCTCGCGTGAGCGCCGCCGGGGTAACGGGGCTAGGAAGACGGGGGCTCGAGGACCGGCGCCGCGACCCGGTCGAGTCGAGCAGCAGCGCGCGCGAGCGCCAGGGTGGTAACGGGACTAGGGAGGCGGGGGGGGGGGGAGGGCCGGCGCCGGGCTCAGTCCGCGGAGTCGCAGGTCCGCGCGCGCTTCCTCGGCGGGCTCGCGAGGGGCACGATGAGCTGCTTGACGAGCTCCGGGTCCGTGCAGAGGTCGGCGAAGGACGGCGACTGGGACACCTCCTTGACGTTGTCGCGGATGACCTCGACGCACTTGGCCTTGAGGCGGTCCGTGAGCGGGAGGTGCGCCTCGGAGAGCGAGAAGATGGAGAGCGCGTTCTCGACCGTGACGCTGTCGCACATGATGTCGAGGCACTTGACGGCGAGCGTGCGGAGCGTGTACTCGGAGGCGAGCTTGAAGATGTCGACGACGGACTCGGGCGGGATGGGCGCGTCGCCGCCCGAGTAGATGAAGCGGAGCACCGTCGCAAAGGTGTCGTAGTCCGCGCCGACGACCTGGACCTCGTCGTCGAGCGCGTCGCCCTCGCCGTCGCCGCGCGCCGCGCGGAGGCGCCGCGTGTTGAGCATGGCGCGGAAGTACTCGGACCGCGCGGCCAGCACGAACTTGTGCGCGCGGATGCGGCGGCCGCCGACGACGAACGTCACCGCGTCGACGCCCAGGTCGTCGGCGGGGTCCGCGTCGAGGAAGCGGAGGAAGGACGGGTTCTCGATGGGGTCCACGAGCTTCCGGCAGTCGAACTCGACCGCGTCGAGATTGCCCGACACGTAGATCGCCGGGAAGAGCGTCGTCGACCGCAGCCGCGCGTACGCCTCCTTCGCCGGGCCCGCGTTGCACGCGAAGCCCAGCGTGCCGTCCTCGAGGTCCAGGTAGGCCTTGATGACGTCGCCGGCCTTGTAGGTGCAGCCGAACGCGGACCAAGCCGAGTTGGCGCCCGTGTCGCCGTCGCCGTCGCGGTCCGCGTCGAAGTCGCGGACGTGCTCGTTGGCCTTGCAGGAGCCCGTCGACGCGTAGACGAAGATGTTGTTCCGGTTGATGGGCTTGTTCAGCTTGATGCTGTCCATGGCGAAGCCCACGGCCATCCACCGCCGCCGCCGCTTCACCGTGAACGTGCAGACCCACCGGCCGCGCGTCAGCCCCGCGGACCCGGGGCCCGACGCGAGGATCCACGCCCCGTCGAAGTGCTGCGTGTTCCCCGTCTGCGTCACCGTGCGCCGGTCCTCGGACACCATCAGGTTCTCCCCGGCGCGGTCCGCGTTGAGGTGGATCTCGCTCTGCATGGCGCTCCGGTTCCCCGCGTCTTCGTACCAGGGAGAAGCCATGATTTTGTGATGCGGGGGCCGTCGAGGGCCGCCTCGAAGGTCTGGGGGTGTGTTTGCGGCCGCCTCCTACCGATGCCGCCGCGCGCGCTCGTACGACGAAGCACGATTTGAGCGCCCCGAGCGGTGCGATCGTCGTGTGGAGAGCGTCCACAGCACGCTTGGCCCGCGCAGTTCATGCTGTGGCAAGTGCTGCCGCGGCGAGTGCGACGGAGTAAAGTACGGAGTACACTTGCGTTCGGCGTACGCGTCCCCGCCACACACACACGCCCCCTTTACGACTCGTGGGGGTCGTACTCGAGGTCGTCGGTGAGGAGCGCGAGGAAGACGATCCAGGGCACGTTGAGCGCGACGGCGAGCGCGAGCTCCGCGTAGGCGGCGCGCTCCCAGGCGGCGACGCGCGCGCGGAGCTGGGTCTTGAGCGCGGCGGAAAAGGCCGCCGCGTCGAGCGCGCCGCCGGGCCCGCCGCCGTCCTCGGGCCGCGCGACGGGCCGGCCCGAGCCGTCGCAGGTCGCCGTGTAGGTGAACCGCGGCGCCGCCGCGTCGCGCCAGTTGAGGCGGCAGAGCGCGTCGACGGCGAGGAGCCGCGCGACGTTCATGAGCACGTAGATCGCCGCGCCGCAGCAGAACTTGAGCAGCGCCGCGTGGAAGTACCACTCGACGGAGCAGGCGCAGTGCTGCGACGCCATGCGCAGCAGCGGCTTGCTCGGCCCGCCGCAAGTTACCGTGCAGTCCGGCAGGTCGGCGCAGTCGAAGACGGCGTCGCCTAAAGCCCAGGACGCCGCGTCGTCGGCGCACGCGGGCTCGGCGAGGCTCGACCCGAGCGGCGCGTAGGGCGTCGACGCCGCGCCGGCGTCGAGCAGGGGGCAGAGCGCGACCGAGCCGTTCGCGGCGCCGCACCCGCCGTAGCCCTCGAGGCCGCAGCACGCGGCCTCGAAGGACGCGTCGAGCGCGCCCACGTCCAAACAGCCGCCCAGCAGCAGCGCGTTCGACGACGAGCCGGCCTGGGCCGCGGCGAGCGACCCGAGGTAGAGCGCGTCCTCGTCCTGCTGCGCCGCGGACGTCGTCAGGTACGCGGAGCAGTGCTCGCCGCGCGTCGCGTCGTAGTCGTCGATCTCCGTCGCGTAGACGCCGCGGCCGTCCACGGCCGCGTAGTTGTAGGCGATGGCGTAGAGATTCTGCGCGAGGAACGTGCCGTTGCCCTTGGTGCCGTGGCCCGCGACGCAGACGTCTGAGTATTCCCGAAACACGGGCACGTACGCCTGCGCGAGCGCCGAGAGGATGAGCACCGCGAAGACGCCCGCGAGCGCCGCGGCGCCGAGGGGCGAGAAGACGAGATTCGCGAGGAAGAAGGTCGGGTTCGTAGCGAAAAGGCCAAAAGCGCTCCGCAGGGACCCCGCGGAATCCGCCGCGTGGTCCACGGACAGGTCCGGCCGCGGCAGCCTGATCGCGGACCGCCCCAAGAAACGGCGGACGATGCGCACGGACTGGAACGCGCGCCAGACGTAGTCCAGGAGCACGAGGAGCGACGTCACGGACGAGATGGAGAAGAACACGAGGTCGACGTCGTAGGACGTGCCCTTGAGCGGCGCCCAGTCGAACCACGTGTCCCTGATGTCCGCGAAGGCCGACGTCGCCGCGGCGCCCGCGGCGGAGACGTTGACGCTCGGCGCCTCGTAGGCCGCCGCGCCGGCGCTCAGCTCCGCGAAGGCGTTGAGGGCCACGGCCTGCCGCTTGACGAAGTCGTCGGCGGCGCCGTCGAAGCGCGACGACGCGTTCGCCAGGCTAGCATCTTCTTCGGGCGAAAAGTCCGCGTAGGCCGGCGGGTCGTAGTCGCCGTAGTCGATGGAGTCCGGGATTTGCTCGAGCTCCCGCGCGACCGCGACCGCGCGCGCGTGCGTCTCGCGCGACAGCCGCGTGAGATTCAGCAAGAGCGCGTCGTAGACGGCGTCCAAAGACGGCGGGTAGAGGTAGTTCTTCCCCGGCGCGGGAAACACATAAAAGTCGTCGGGCCAGCCCGGCGGCGCGGCGTAGAAGTCCGACAGGCCCAGGTCGAACCAGCCGCCCGAGGGCGTCGCGACGCCCGCGTCGCCGATCCAGCCCGTGACGCCCTCGTAGAAGTCGCGCGCGCTCGCGTAGGCGTCGCCGACGCGGTCGACGTAGTCCTCGGCGCGCTCCGCGTAGGCGTCGACCGTGTTCGACGCGAGCTGCACTTGGTAGTCCGCGCGGGCGACGTAGGCCTCGAAGAGCTCTCGCGCGTCCTCGAGCGCCCCCCCGAAGCACGGCGTGCTGAAGTTCGCGTCGGAGCGGCCGCTCAGGCAGGCCGAAGCGAGGTCCACGCCCGCGAAGACGTCCGGGAAGCTCGCGTTCGACAGGGCGACGAGGTCGCGCGTCAGGGCGGCGATCTGCGCGGCGACGTCCGCGCGGAGCGTCGCGGTCTTGTTGGCGAGGTAGGCCTCGTCGTAGGCGGCCCGCGCGGCGGCGTAGGCCGCGAGGGCGCCCACGGTCGTCGACGCGTCGTCGGCGAAGCCCGTCGCCGTCGCGAAGGCCTCGCTGCGCACCGCGCCGACGTCGCCGACCAAATCCGCGGCGGCCGCGCACGGCGTGCTGCAGTTCGAGGCACCGGCGGCGGCGGCGACGTCGCAGGGCGCGGCGCAGGTGTCCGTGTCGTTGAGGGCGCAGGCGTAGGGCACGGCGTGGGCCGTGTCCAGCGTCTGCCACTCGGAGAGCGCGGACACGGCCGTCGTGACCGCGGCCGAGCACGCGGCCTGGGCCGCGGCGAAGCCCGCGAGCGCCGCCGCGTTGCTCCGCGCCGCGGCCTCCGTCGCCGCGACGGCGACGGCGCGCTGGGCCTCGTAGGCGCCGCGGCACTCGCCCATCTGGCGCGACACGCACGTCTCGTAGTCGGACCGCGCGTCCCTCGCGGAGTCGTACGCGTGCTCGCAGGACGCCTGGACGAGGCCCGCGGAGGGCTGCTCGACGAGGGCGTCGGTGAGGGCCACGGCCACGGACAGCGACGCGACCCACATGAGCGACACGGCCGTCAGGGACAGCAGCAGCCGGCAGGGCAGCGTCGGGTCGGACGTGGCGCGGGACCAGAGGCTCGGGGGCGCGGCCGCCGGCGCGGCCGCGTCGCGCTTCGCCGCCTCGGCGGCGCGGCCCGCGCCGAAAGCGAGGGGGTTCTCCGCCGCGAAGGCCGACGCGCGCGCGGGGAGCTCGACGGTGCCCGCCATGTCCACTTCTGGCCTTGCGAACTGGAAGGGCTGCATCATGCACCTTCGGCTGATATGATTTGTCTTGCTTAGTGAGAAACCTCTACTCAACGCGGAAGTCTGCGGCTCTCTTGCGGGCCAGCCAGGGCGCCGCGTAGACCGGTGCTCCCGCTCGCCCGCAGCGTTCGCCGCCGCCGGTGACCCGCCGCGCCCGGCGCGCGCGACCGGTCCGCCGCGTCCCGGGCGCCGCGCCCCCGCGGCAGCCCGAGCAAGCGGCCCGCCGAGCCGCGCGCCCTCGACGCCGCCGCGGCGCCGCGGCGCGCCGCGGAAGCCACCATGGCCTTCGTCATGAAGTTCTTCCGCAAGGACCCCTGCGTGGAGAACTACCAGCTCGGCCGCGTGCTCGGCCAGGGCTCCTTCGCGACGGTGAAGCGCGCGACGGACAAGAAGGACAAGTCCGTCTGGGCCGTGAAGATCATCCGCAAGAAGGCCCTGGGGCCCGAGGACCAGGAGGCGCTGGAGAAGGAGGTGTCCATCATGCAGGAGCTGAGCGCGCTCAAGCACCCCCACATCGTCTACCTCAAGGAGGTCTACGACTCCGCGGACAACTTCTACATGGTCATGGAGCTCTGCCAGGGCGGCGAGGTCTTCGACCGCATCGTCAAGAAGGAGAAGTACACGGAGGTCGAGGCGCGGGACGCCCTCAAACAGATCGTCGAGGCCATCCGCGTCTGCCACAGCCGCGGCATCGTGCACCGCGACCTCAAGCCCGAGAACCTGCTCTACGTCTCCCCCGAGAGCGACGAGATCAAGCTCGCGGACTTTGGGCTGGCGAACATCCTGCAGCCCAACAGCGCCCTGGCGACGGCCTGCGGCACGCCGGGCTACGTCGCGCCCGAGGTCATCGGCTCCGCGGGCTACAACAAGGAGGTCGACATCTGGAGCCTCGGCGTCATCGCCTACATCCTGCTCTGCGGCTTCCCGCCCTTCTACGACGAGAACCAGGGCAAGCTCTTCAAGAAGATCCAGCGCTGCCAGTACACGTTCACGCGGCCCTACTGGGACCAGGTCTCCGACGGCGCGAAGAAGATGATCACGACGATGCTCGTCGTGGACCCGGCGAAGCGCGCGACGGCCCAGGGCGTGCTCGACGACCCCTGGATGGCCGCCGACGGCGGCGCCAAGGACGCCAAGGACGCCGAAGGGGCGCGCCACCTCGACGGCTTCCGCGAGAACATGGCCCGCTACAACGCGCGACGGAAGTTCAAGGCGGGCATCATGTCCATGCAGATCGTCTCCTTCCTCCAGAACGGCGCCCTCCACAGCGCCACGCTGCGCGCCAAGGCCGAGAAGGCCGCCGAGGACGCGGCGCCGGAGGCCGCGCCCAAGGAGGCCTAGGCGCGCGCGCGCGCGCGACGCCGGGCCCCCGGCGCGCCGCCCCGACTCCCTTCCCCCATTAGCCGTGCCGTCGTCGAACTTCGGGGAGTACTTCGGAAGCACTGCGGGATGCCTGTCGAGCCGAGCGTTACGAGGGGACCTACTTCTTGGGCGAGAGCGCGTCGAAGAGGAAATCTTGGTAGAGCGCCGTGACGAACGCGCTCTGCTTCGCGTCCGCGGCGCCGCCGTGGCCGCCCTCCATGTTCTCGTAGTAGAAGATGTTTGGCGCGCCCGTCTCCTGGAGGCGCTTGACGAAGGACCGCGCGTGGTAGGGGTGGACGCGGTCGTCCTTCGTCGACGTCGTCATGAGGAGCTTCGGGAAGGCCGTGCCCGGCCGGACGTTGTGGTAGGGGCTGTTGTACTTGAGGAAGGCCCAGTCGTCCGTGTCCGGGTCGCCGTACTCGCCGCGCCACGACGCGCCCGCGAGGAGGTGCGAGTAGCGCTTCATGTCGAGGAGGGGCACGGCGCAGACCACCGCGGCGCAGAGGTCCGGGTGCTGGACCATGAAGTTGCCGACGAGGAGGCCGCCGTTCGAGCCGCCGCGGACGCCGATGGATTGGGGCGTCGCGACGCCCGTCGCCGCGAGGTGCTTCGCGACGGCGGCGAAGTCGTCGACGCAGACGTGGCGCTTCTCGCGCTTCGCCGCCTGGTGCCACTTCGGGCCGAACTCGCCGCCGCCGCGGATGTTCGCGACGACGTACGTCGCGCCCCGCTCGAGCCAGCCCGCGCCGATCGTGCCGCCGTAGCCCGGCGTGTTGCTGATCTCGAAGCCGCCGTAGCCGTAGAGCAGGCACGGCGTCTCCGGCGGCGCGCCCGCCGTGCGCACGCAGAAGAAGGGGATCTTCGTGCCGTCGGCGGACGTCGCCTCGCCCTGGAACGCCTCCTTGCCCGCCGCGTCGAACATGGCCGGGAGCGCCTTGATGACCTCGGCGTTCGCGACGCCCGCGGCGCCCGCCACCGCATCCGCGAGCGCGAGCGTCGACGGCTCGAGGTACGTCGACGTCCGCAGGAAGTAGGCGTTCGACTCCTCGGCGTCGACGGGCGACGCGGACACGCCGCGGATCATCGGCGCGGCCTCGCTGCCCGCGTCGCGCCACGTCGTGGCGCCGCCGGCCTCGACGGGCTCGAGGAAGACGAGGCGCGTCCGCACGTTATCGAGCACCGTGAGCACGAGGCGGTCGCGCGTCGCGGCCGCGGACGCGAGCGACGTCTTCGCACTCGGCACGAAGAGCGGCTCGAATTTGGCGCCGCGGACGCCGCGGGCGACGAAGTCGTCGAAGCCCACGGCGAGGTAGGACCCCGCGGGGTACGTCGTGCCGCCGGCGACGAGGTCCGACCGCGGCTCGACGAGGAGCTGGTCGCCGAGGTGCGACACCTGCGCGTCGTCGGGCAGGCCGAGCGCGTCGAGCCGGTGCCAGACGCCGTCGCGCGCGGCGCTGTGGCGCCGCACCTGCTTCTTGGTCGTGTAGAACGTCGTCGCGCGATAGCGCCACTCGAAGGCCGCGCCGCGGCTCCGGCTCACGTAGCCGCCGACGGACACGTCCGAGGCCTCGCCCTCGAAGACGACGGGCGCGTCCCTGGGGTCCGTGCCGCGCGTCCACTCGCGGACCGTCCGCGGGTAGCCGCTGCTCGTGAGGTCGCCGTCCTTCAGGTCCGCGCCGAGGAAGAGCGTGTCGCGGTCGAGCCACGAGCACCGGCTCTTCGACGGGTCGAGGAGCTCGAAGGCGTCGCCGCCGACGAACGCCTTGGCCGCGAGGTCGAACTCGCGGCGCACGATCGCGTCGCTCCCGCCGGGCGACAGGGACACGAGGGTCCGCGTCGGCGAGCCGACGAGCCGGTGTTTCTCGTCGTACTCGCGGCAGCTCGCGCTGCCCTTGTAGACCCAGGACTCGCCCTCGGCCCGGCCGAGCGCGTCGACGTCGAGCACCGTCTCCCACGGCGGGTTCTCGGACCGGAAGGCCTCGAGCGACGGCACGCGCCGCAGGAGGCCCCGCGGGTTGGCCTCGTCGGTCCAGAAGTTGTAGTAGAAGTCGCCGATCTTGCTCACGCCGGGGATCTTCTCCTTGGACTCGAGGACCTCGAGGATCCGGCCGTACGTCGGCGACGCGGCCGGGTCGCCGAGCGCGGCGAACGTCGCCTCGTTCTGCGCCTTGGCCCAGCCGAGCGCGGCGTCGCCGGACACCTCCTCGAGCCACGCGTGCTCGCCCTGCTTCGCCTCCCAGCCGGCGATGAGCGCCTCGCGGTCGTCGGCCGCCTCGCAGCCCGCCGCCGCGCCGCCCGCGAGCGCGACCGTCGCCGCGACGCCGCGGCGCCGCGACGACGACGACGACGACGACGACGACGACGACGACGACGACGACGACGACGACGACGACGACGACGACGACGAGCCGCGCCCGTCGGCGCGGCGGCCGGGCGCCGCCGGCGACCGGGCCGCGCCCGCGCGCAGCGCCAGCGCCAGCGACGCGCCGCCGCGAGTCTGCGCCAGCAGCGCCAGCGCGCCGCCGCCGCGGCTGCGCGTCAGCGCCGCCGCGGTGAGCAGCCGCTTCGCCGCCAGCGAGCCCATCGAGTCGTTGCTGCCCCGCAGTCGACGGCGGCGCGCGCGGTCCAGAAAGTCGACAAAGCCCTCAATCAACGTAGCCTTCAGGGTGCCGAGCGCGCGCCTCTAGACGGCGTAGTAGACGCTCGCCGCGCCGGCGCGGCCGCGCAGCCCGACCCTCTAAACAACGCAGGAGTTCGTCGTCGTTACCCGCTCGCTCGAAGACGCGCGGCGCGGCTCAGCAGCCCCGGCCGAGGAGCTCGCAGAGGTCCTCGCGCTTCTCCTGCTTGGACTTGGACTTGAGCTGCTTCTCCTTGGCCTGCTCGTCGGCGAGGCTCCCGGCGAAGCCCTTCTTCTCGCTCTTCTTGTCCTTGTTCTGGGCCGCGAGCTTTCGCGCGAGCCGCGCCTTCTCGATCTCCTCCTGCGACGGCGCGTCGAGGTCCTGGACCTCGCCGTCCGCGCGGGCCGCGAGAGGGCTCAGCAGCGCCGCCGCCGGCACCGCCGCCGCCGCCGCCGCCAGCCGACGCAGCGACGCGCGCCGCGACAGGTCCGGCGAGGAGAGCGAAACCTCCGCAGAAGGCGTACTGGCGGCGGCTACGATGTTGCAAAGCGCGCGGACGGTTGCGCGAGTTGCGAGGGCGTAGAGAGGGTGCTAAACGCACTCGCGGCTGCGACGCACAGCGTCAGGCGGGCGAGCAGAGACGCTGACATCGCTTCAAGCTCGGATCGAGCCAATGATGCCGTCAAAGTGCCGCTGCAAAAGCGTCGTTGCCAGCACTCTCGCGCCGCTCAATTTCGCTCCGTCGGGCACCGACGTTGGGGCGCAGGGCGAGTCTTCCACCTCCCCAGATCCCCACCCCATCCTTCACCCACGCCCCTACACATCACTTACCCCCCCGAAACGCTCCGCGCGTCTTTTGAGCCCCCGCGCGCCGCGAACGCCCCCCCAAGCCGCGCGCGCGGCGAACACACCCTCGAACAGGCGCCATGACGTCCATGCTGAGCAAGTTCACGTCGGGGTTGACCGGCGGCGGCGGCCTCACGAGCGGCGACAGCTCCCGCAACGCGACGAACACGGGCTTCGCGAGCGCGTCGTCGACGCCGCGCGAGTTCGGCAAGTCGAAGCCGATGACGAGCGCGTCGCGCATCGGGAGCGCGAAGCGCGTGCCTCTGGAGTCGGCGAAGAAGTCGCCGCAGAAGAGCCCCCTGAAGCCGCTCGACGAGGACACGGAGATGAACACGGAGGAGGACGCCGTCGAGGGCACGCTGCGGCCCGGCGGCATGACGCTGAACGACTTCGAGGTCGGCCGGCCGCTCGGGAACGGCAAGTTCGGCCGCGTGTACCTCGCGCGGACGCGCAAGGACAAATACATCGTGGCGCTCAAGGTGCTGCGGAAGAGCCAGCTCGAGAAGAACGGCGTGGAGCACCAGCTGCGACGGGAGATCGAGATCCAGACGCACCTCGTGCACAAGAACATCCTGCGCATGTACGGCTACTTCTGGGACGAGAAGCGCATCTACCTCATCCTCGAGTTCGCGCCGGGCGGCGAGCTCTACAAGCGGCTGACGGCCAAGGGCCGCTTCAGCGAGCAGGAGACCGCGCGGTACATCCTCGAGATGTCGCGCGCGCTGTCGTACTGCCACCAGAAGCACGTCATCCACCGGGACATCAAGCCCGAGAACCTGCTCCTGGGCCTCAACGGCGAGCTCAAGATCGCCGACTTCGGCTGGTCCGTGCACGCGCCGTCGCTCCGCCGCGAGACGTTCTGCGGCACGCTCGACTACCTGCCGCCGGAGATGGTCGAGGTCAAGGGCTACGACGAGAAGGTCGACCTCTGGTCCCTCGGCGTGCTCTGCTACGAGTTCCTCGTCGGCGAGCCGCCCTTCGACGCGCCGGGCAAGAAGGCGACCTTCAAGCGCATCTCGCGCGTCGACCTCCACTTCCCGGACTACGTCTCCGCGGGCGCGCGCGACCTCATCACGCGCCTCCTCGTCAAGGACCCCAAGGAGCGCATGCTGCTCGACGACGTCGCCAAGCACCCCTGGATCGTCCGCAAGACGAACCCGGACCCGTGAGGGGCCCGACGCGCCGCGGCCCCGGCGCGCGCCCTCCTCCCTCGTAAAGACGCAAGATCGAAATGAGGGGACGAAGCGCGGCTTGCGGTGGAAAAAAACTCTAGACGGGCGCGTAGCAGGGCGCCTGGAAGCCGGCCCAGGACGCGTTGTCGATCCTGCGGTACTTGGCCTCGAGGAGCGCCGGGTCGAGGCTCCCGGTGACGTAGTAGAGCGACGCGTCGTCGAGGGCGCCGGCGAGGCGCCGGACGACGTCCGGGTGCTGCGCCGCGACGTTGTGCTTCTCCTCCGCGTCGCCGAGGACGTCGAAGAGGCACGGCGCCGTCGCGTTGCAGACGGGGCAGTCGTCGCCCGTGACGACGGGGTCCGTCCGCCCCGGCTGCGGCGGGTCCGGCTGGCGGCCCGCGAGGCAGGCGCTTTCCGCCGGCGTCTGCGTCGCGTTCGCCGCGTAGCGCACGGACTGGCCTGCGGGCGCCGCGCGGTCTCCTTCGGTCGGGGAAGAATCAAAACGCGCCAGGACGGACCCGCGAGGGTCACGAGCTTCCACCACCGGTCCGGCGACGCCGCGTCGACGACGGAGACTTCTGTGACGGGCGTCACGGGCCGCGGCTGCGTCGTGTTCGCGCCCGTGAGCAGGGGCCAGACGTCGACGCCGTCGACGCCGCGGACGACGCCGTCGAAGACGACGTCGTCGGCCGCGTCGACGCCCGCGAGGCCGCAGAACCTGCCGCGTGGGGCGTCAAAAGCGCTCTCAAAACATAGAACGACGCCGCGCCGCGCGTCGCGTACCAGTCCGCGACGTGGACGAACTTGGCGCCGGTCCGCGCGCCGCGGAGGCGCGCCGGGAGCCGGCCGCCCGCGAGGAACGCCGCCGCGCGCGTGCCGCCCTCCCAGGGGTCGTGCTTGTGGCCCCGGAGCGGCCGGTTGTTCCCGAACTCGCCCACGCCGCCCTACGCGCGTGCGCAAAGCGTCGACGCGAGCGTCGGGCCGCGCGCGCGGACGAGGCGACGACGGACGGGGATCGCGGACGGACGCGGGGGACGCTGACGTTGTCCGCCGTGAAGAGGAGCAGCGCGTCGTCCCACTTGTTCGTCGTTTTCAGCGCCTTGGCGACGCGGTCGACGCCGAGGTCGAGCGCGTGGAGCATCTGCGCGTAGACGCAGTCGGCGCAGAGGGGGAAGTCGGGCCAGGCGCCGCGCTCGTCCTCCGGGGGCATCTCGTAGGGCGTGTGCACGTTCTGGAACGCGACGTACATGAACAGCGGCGGGCCGTCGGCCGCGTGCGCCTCGACGGCGTCGACGGCGCGGCCCGCGTAGTAGGTCGTCGCCGAGTCGAGCACGGGCGCGAGGGCCAGCGCCGGCTCGCGATCCAACCAGAGATCCGAGCTGTTGTCGCCGTGGAGGAGGCCGTGCGAGTAGTGCTCGGACCCCGACAGAAAGCCGACGTGCGACGCGAAGCCGCGATTGATCGGCAGATGGTCCGTCGTCTCGTAGCCCAGGTGGCCCTTGCCGAAGAAGTGGCACTCGTAGCCCGCGCCGTCGCGGAGCTTCTCGGCGAGCGTCGTCGTCGCCAAGGGCAAAAAGTCGCTGCAGAGCCTGTCGCCGTCGGGCTGCACGGACGTGATCGACGTCGGGAAGCGGCCGCTGAGGAAGGACCGCCGCGACGGGCTGCAGTAGCGGAAGACGTAGTGCCGCTCGAGGAGCAGGCCGTCGTTTGCGAGCGCGGCGATGGCCGGCGTCGGCGCGTGCTCGTTGTAGAGCGCCGTGTCGTACCAGCCCAGGTCGTCGGCGAAGATGGAGATGAGGTGCGGCGGTTTTGATGATGCGGCGCCGGTTATTGCGAGGAGGTAGAGGGTGGTGCGTAGTGGCGCGCGGAGAGCTCCCCAGTGCTTGCGGTGCGTTCGTTCTTCGGCCATACTCGGAGCTGCTGAGCGCTTCACCATCGATGCATCCAGCCGAAGCGGGTCGAAGCGGCGGTTGCAGCAGAGCATGTTGGTGCGTCGCGTCGCTCTCGCAGCCATGGCCAGCTTCCAGCTCGCCGCCGCCGACCTCTCGAAGCTCAAACCGCCAAAGGCCGGCCACGTGCGCCTCTACCTCTGCCGCCACGGCCAGACCGATTGGAACGCCGCGAAGCGCATCCAGGGCAGCGTCGACAAAGAGCTCAACGCCATGGGCCACCGCCAGGCGGCGCTCATCGGCGAGGCGCTCGCGGGCGTGCCGCTGACGCTCGTCGCGAGCTCGCCGCTGCGGCGCGCGTCCGCCACCGCCGACGCGGTCTTCGCCGTCTTCCCGTCGGCCGCGCGCGAGAAGCACAGCGGCCTCCGCGAGATGGACTTCGGCGAGCTCGAGGGCACGGTGCCCGGCGACGTCTACGCGGCGACGAACGCGGCCTGGGCCGGCGGCGACCTCGACCACGCGTGGCCCGGCGGCGAGGCGCCCGCGGACGTCGTCGCGCGCGGCCGCCAGGCGCTCGCCGGCGTCCCGTGGCCGTGACGATTTTCGAGAGATGAAAAATCGTTACCGTCATGCTTGGTAGGCGCTCGCGGCGCTCGGGCTCCTAGGCCAGCCGGACGGCGCGCCGCCGGAGCACACGCACGCCGCCGTCGTCTGCCACGGCCGCTTCAACAAGATCCTCCTCAGTTCGCTGCTTGGTCTTGGTGTTGAGAAATGCGGCGAGCTCGTCCAGGGCAACTGCTGCATCAACGTCATCGACGTCAAGGTCGACGCGGACGTCGACGCGACGGACGCGGCCGAGGGGATCCTCCTCAACTACGTCGGCCACCTCGCGGCGCTGGAAAAGGAGGTGAGCGCCGCGGCGCGATAGTCGCCTAAGCGTCGATCGTTAGCATCACGGCGGCTCCGTCGCCGCCGGGCTTGGGGAGCCCTCCGGTGAAACCGGACGTCGTCGCGATCTTGGCGTCGGAGATGGCCGTCGACCGCCGGATGGCATCTCCACCGGATGCTTGTCGACGGCGCCGAGCTCGTCCCAGGAGATGGCGACGGGCACGAACTGCAAAGCGAACATGGCGAAGACGAAGAGCCAGAGGCGGCAGGGGTCGTCCGCGGCGAGCGCGCCGACGGCGTAGCCCGCCGCGGCGCGCGCGAGCCCCTTGAAGATCTCCATGAGCGCGAGGTAGAAGCCCGCGTCCTGCTCCCTCGCGACGAGCTTCGTGTAGATGGAGTTGTTCGACGGCATCTGCGCGAGGAAGGGCACGTGGTAGAGCGCGTACACGGCGGCGAAGAGGCCCAGGGGCCGCGGCGCCGCCGGCCCGAGGAGCGACGGGCAGCCGAAGAGGCCCGCGTACGCAAAGAGCACGGCGCCGACGGCGACCTGGTTCCCGACGCAGAGGCCGCGGTCGCCAAGCGCGTAGCGCCGCGCGAGCGGGCCGACGGCGAAGGCCGACGCCGTGCCGACGACGCCCGTGACCGCAAAGAGCGCGCTGTCGCGTAACGCGGACGGCCCGTAGAGTCGGCTCGTGACGAGCGGCAGGCTCCAGTCGAGCGTCTGGTTCCCGAAGTTGTTGTTCCAGGAGAGGAAGAAGCAGGCCCAGGCGCCGGAGCGAACCAACGTGCGAGCGACGGCGCGCGCGCCCCGCGGCGCGTCGGCGCGCCTCGGCTTGGCGTCGGGCGCGCGGTCGGGCGCGGCGTCGTCGAGCGACGCCGTCGCCAGCGCGGCGACGTTGCACGCGGCGACGACGGCGCCCGCGCCGGCGTAGGAGCGGTCGCGGAGGCCGAGGAGCACGGCGGGACCGCAGAGCGAGGTGAGCCGCTGGAGCCCCATGATCGTGCTGAAGACGGGCGTGCGGTCGCGCGCCGGCACGCTCGCGGACACGTAGGCGGTCGTGACGACGGCGACGCTGGACGCCGCGCCCGCGAGCGCGCGCGCGGCGACGACGACGTCGACGGTCGGCGCCAGCGCGTAGGCCGCGGAGCCGACCGCGGCGGCCGCGAGGCAGGCGGACGCCGCGCGGCCGTGGACCCGGCCGCCCGCGTCGCCGTCAATGGCGCGGCCGACGAACCACATGGCGACGACGCGCGACGCGAAAAAGACGCACTGGCAGCGCCCGTTGGCCGCCATGGCGTCGCAGCGGCCGCCGCCGCAGAGCTCGCGCAGGTAGTGCACGAGCGTCGGATTCACGAGCACGTTGTCGATCGTCGACGCCACCTGGATGACGTAGACGCCCAGGAGCTTCGGAGGCATGGTCAGGCCGGCCTGGAGCTTTGGAGGCATGGTTAGGCCGGCTACGCTGGATTTCAAGAGCTCTCCATGCGCGGAGTTGGGCTGTAAATGCTCCATGCTCTTTGATCCTCAGTCAAGTTGAACCGGTCGTTGAACAATTCTTGAACCGAGGTGCGCAGTTTTGTGAGATCGAGTGGATGGTGAACCAAATGATTTGAACCCATTTGAGTGCCCTATTACCGGTTCTCTTATGATTGATCCTGTCGTGGCGTCCGATGGACATACATATGAGCGCCATGTTTACAATTCAAACTTGGCTGAATAGGAAGGAAAACATCTCCTATAACAAGGGAACGATTGACACCTCATCTATATCCTAATCTGCTGTTAAAGTCAATAATGGTTACGATCGCCGAAAATAATACAGATTTTAGAAACGAGTATGAAAGGGTCAGCCCCCTCCACCACCAGTACATAATCGTCAAAATCAAGTTCCATTTACAAACAGGGCGGCAGCACACACACACGCCCCACAGACGTCGAGTGTAGTCGCATGCACACGTACGAATGCGGGTTAGGGGGCGGGCCTAGCACATGAGCCTAGGCCTAGGCGAGGACGTCGTCGTCGTCGTCGTCGCCCATGTCGGAGCCACGGGGGCGGCACGCTCCACGCGCGCGGGGTACCATGTGCGGTCGCCGGGTCTGGGGGTTTTGTAGTCCGTCGGGGTCGGTGTAGTCTGAGACCGGATTCTGGCGTATCTCGGTGAGCTCAGCCCGAATCGCTTTGTAGTCGGAAATAGTCGGTCGATTTCCCTTGTAGTCGG